ATAGCTGAAGTCTCATATAAAATATAGTTATTAGCAATTTTATTATTAATATAGAAGACTATAGCTGTCTAATTAATAGAGAATTTATTATATATAATAATTAGATAAAATTATTTAAATTTGTTAAATGTTATAAAATACATAATATTTTTGATAAATAAATAGATAGGAATAAAAATAGCTATCTCTATATATTTGAAATAAAATTAGATTGCATATTGTAAATCAAATAAAAGGGTAGTAGAATTATTGTTATTCTTAACTAGATGATCAATTTTATTATTGAATAGATTTTTTAAATGCATCTTAACTTTGTAAAGGTAATGTTAAGATTAAGAGACTTTATAATTTTAAATAGACTAAACTAAAGTATAAAATTATTAATTTCAAAAGAGGCTAAATCAATAGAGAGGTAATCAAAATTCTTTTAAATTTGTAAAGTTGTTGAATGACTATTTGTGAATCTGTTTTAATAATCACATGACAGTTAGAAGATGTTATAATTATAGCTATGAAAATAGCTTTTAGCTCTGCGACTGAAAAAAGATAAGAAGGTAACAAGAATAGTTGAAAAGAAACCATTAATAAATTAGAATGTATTTGTAGCTAAACTAGATCTATTCTGATATTTGAAGAACTTAGAGTAAAATAAGCAGTAATCTCAGGTAGTTTAATAAGTATATTAATTATTAAATATTAACCCTATCCGTTTACTTAGCTCTCTCAATGATAAATGGTGAACCTCTGTTTATAATTAATAAATCATTAAGTATAATCTTCATAAAAGTAATATTTATAGATAATAAGTAATGATATTAGATTAATTGTTAAAGAAAATCTTAAACAAGTAAATTCAATAATATTTATAGATAAGATAAGTGTTCATAAATAATATTTTTAAATAGTTCAATTTGATCCAAATATAAGATAATTTGAATCTAAATTCAACTGTAAATCATAAAAATTCTAATTTAAACTAAAAATTTCAGATTAATCTAAAAATTTAATTAAATTAAATTTTTATTATTTAATAAGAAACATATTTTTAATTATTCTAATTAAATAATCTTTTTATTATTTGATTAAAATAAAGGTTGAAACTGATTAAGGTTAATCAATTAATTAATCGATTAAGTTGATTAATTAATTAAAGTATCTCAAAAAATTAATTAATTAATTAATCTAACTGATTAATTTAACCGATTAATTAATTAATTAATTTAATCAGTTAAAAATGCAGATCATCTTAAAATAGTACTTCAATAAGTTTTTTTTTAGTTAAATCAATTTTGTAAAAAAAAAACTAGCTAAATTAATTTTGGTTTTAAATTTTTTTTAAATAAACCTTTATTTTATATTATATACATCTTTGTAATCATTATAAAGAATTTAACATAGATGATAATAATGATTTTTCTGAATATATTGATTATAGAAACATTGAAGCAGATCATCAAAAGCTATATCTTTCACAACAATTTTTAAAAGGTCATCATTATTAGAATCAACCAGTAGTCAATCAGCAAAAAATTAAAATTATTTTCTAAATCTAAGAAGAGTTTTGTATAAAATATTTTGAGAAGATTGATAATAGAAAAGTCTGATATACAATAAAAAATGAGAAGGAAGAGCTATATAATATGATTTATAAATATTTAAATTCTCTACATCAAATATAAAATATCACCTGAATTCAATTCATAATATAATTGAGGAAGATGAAGAATAAGAAGCAGTAAATATTTTTTTTATTTATAAATAATAAAATAGAAATTAATAATTCTTATACTAATAGGAACTAAAAACACAACAAACAAAAATTAACTTAATGTTCAGAAAAATAAAATTCTATAGAAAAATATTTCAATATAAGTTAAATATATTATTGCTTAAATTTATTATTATTGATTTCTAACTCTTTCATATCTTAAAAAATAATATATTTAAAAAATTTCTTTTTGGATTAGATTTATCTTATTCCATCTCTTGCAATAAGACAATTAATAATTTAATTACAAATATATATAAATTCAGAATTAAGAAATTATTATCATTAATAGTTAGTACTTATGAATTTATTTTAATCATAATAGACCTCTAGATAGCAAGAAGTAAAATAGGATATATCAGAATTACTGGTCATTAAGTAAATGAAAATTTTAAACTATATGATATATTAATTACTATTGAAAGTATATAATATCTACATACAGCAGTATTTATATTTAAATATTTAGAAAAGTATATAGAAGATTATCGTTTAGAGAATAAGATATTTGTGTAGTATTAGACAATGAAAGTATTATGAAAAATACTGTTAATATTTTAAATCAAAAGAATAATAAGATACAAAGGTTACCATATGTAGCTTATACATTATAGTTAATAGTTATTAATGTATTAAAAAAAAATTATAATATCAATTTTAATGATTTAGATTGATGATATTAATAATATTATTATTAATGATAATAATTATAAGTTATTAAAATTAACAAATATTTTATTTATTTATAATTTTTTCAGATACAATAAATTTACATTTTTTGACTTATATAGAAAATATGAAAGAAGATTATTCTGATAAATCAGAAGAAGAAAATGAAACTTTTAATAATTCAGAATTGGATAAAACAAGTAATAAATCAGTTATTATTAGGTCTCATAAATATAATTTACATAAAAAATTAAAGAAAATTAATTATAGTGACTTATTAAGGAAATCACAGAATACCTCTCAATTAGAATCTACAAATTCTCATCAAATAATTAAAAGAATATTAGTAATGATCATTAAGTCTCTTGAACATTATTAGTAAAAACCTAATCAATATACTTTACTTTTAACAATTCTAGATCCTAGATACAAAGATTTTGATTTTTTATTAGATGACGATTTAAAAATAAAAACTGAAGTTGAATTATAACAGATATATGAAGATTTGAAATTTAAGTTAAATCAAAATAAAGAATCAAAAATGTTATCAACTGCTAAAAAATAATTAACAGATGATTTAATTTTTAATACACTCTATAAAAATCAAAAACGTAAAAAAAAGCAAGTGAGATTAATAATTACCTTAATATAAATATTACAGAAAAAGCAGATCCTTCTACTAATCCTTTTGAATGGTAGAATTAGAATTAATAAAGATTTTCTATACTAATAGTATTAGCATGCAAATATTTGTCTATCTCAACAACATTTATTTTAAGTGAATGCTTATTTTCAGATATTGAAAATAACATGTCAAATAAACAGATACGTCTTAGTTCAAAAGTTTTTCAAGAAATTCTTTTTATTAAAAGAAACTTAAAATATATTGATATGTTTACACTTATTATTAATAAAGTAAATATTTGAACTGTAATTGAAATGTTCTCTTATATTAAACTAATAAATTTTTATTTATTAAATTTAGAAAAAGGTAAACTAATATTTTTATTAAATATTTTATAAATATTCCATATTTTTATTTTTTTTAACATTATTTATAAATTCAATAATTCAATATTTATATATAAATAAATATTTTAGAACATTAATTATGATTGTAATCAAAAAATTATAAAATGTATATTTTAAATGAAAATTTATATATTAATCGGTTAATTAACCGATTAACATTATTATTACAAATTAATTGATTAATTAACTGATTAATTAATCGATTATTATTTAGTTATAATAGCTTGTTAATTGATTTTAATCAGTTAAAGATTTTTTGATCAGTTCTAACCTCTAAATTAAAATAATATTTTTAATTATTTTAATCAAATAATATTTTTATTATTGATTGAAATAATAATTTTAATTGTTTTAATCAAATAATATATTTATCATTTAATTGAAAATAATAATTTTGATTGTTTTAATTGAATGATAATTTTATCATTTAATTTGAATAATAATTTTAATTATTCTAATTGAATAATAAAAATATCATTTTATTGGATTAATAATTTTGATTATTTTATTAAATAATTCTTTATTATTTAATTGAATAAGTCATTTAAATAATATTAAAAGTTACAAAATATAAAAAAAGGTAAAAAAAATTATATCAAATATAAAAATTGTGAAAATATATTAAATTTTAATAAAAATTAGTAAAACTAAAAATTTAAATATTATATTAATTTTAAAATAGATTTAGACAAGCAACTTTAATTAGAATGAACTAATTAAAATTTTTAGGTTATTTTAAAATTTTTGATTTAATTCTGATTTTTTTTAGTTCAAATAATTATAATCTGTAAAAAATCTGAATTGATCTGAAAATTTTTAGAAAGTTGATCTAAACCAAAAATCTTCAGATTTATCTGAACCATTTTAATCTTTATTCATGAAAAAGTTTTTCTAATGAAATATTTATCCAGTCTTTTATAACTTGTATATCAAATAAATTATTGATAAAAATTTTGATAAAGAAAATAAAGAGAAATTAAAAATAACTGATGATAATGAAGATGATGATAATGATGAATGAGAATTCTGCAAGAGGGAAATGTTACAAATGATGATTAATCAGGTTTAAAAATCTTCACTGAATTTAGCACTTATTCAATGATATGAATTTTAAGTCACAAAGTCAATCATATTACTACGGATGTTCTCGATTACAAATTAAAGAATAGAAATCGAAGCATAATATACACGCGGTTTTCTTTCGCCAGTCTGAATATAATTGTGTTGACCGGATGATGGCTTTAAGATTATAATAAGTGAATAAAATAATAGGATTTATAATTTAAAATGTCAAGAAATAGAATGCAACCAACAGAAACTAATGCTGCTTTGCAATATCAACAGTAAGATTGACGGTTAAAATTTTAGTCCAAGAATAATGTTTTGATGTTTATAGAATTTGCAGAACGTATACGATTACATTTTCGTTGCATATCCATAATTAGAAATTTCATAATATCTTTATTACAACGCGAAACTTCTTACGGAAAAGTTGCTCATGTAAATTTTAAATTTTGTTATAAAACTATAACTACTTTTTTGACAGCTCTTTTTCTATAATTTTAGCGTAAAAACCATTAAAATCTACTCTTAATAGAAATTCTTGTAAAAATCCACCACCGGATTGATTATCAACTTTATCATGATAAGATCTTCCACCATCATGACTTGTAAAACTAGTTCTTAAACTTTCACCTTCAGGATTAATAACAATACGTTTCATTCCCATTCCTATTCTTCCACCACCTTTCTCATCTAAAGCCATTAATATTTTTACAAGCATTGCTGTATATAATCTAAACTTTCCATATAAATCTTTAATTGAATTCCAGTATTCTTGTCTTTTTTGCAAATCAATTATTCGCGATCTTTTTCGTTGCAATTTATTAGCAAAGGTTAATATCACTGTAAAAATTCCATTTAGAACCTTCATAATCGCTTCTTGTTTCTTTTTTAGTAAACATTGAAATAGCATACGATCTAATACATGATCATGATATGCACGTAATGATTCGAGGTCTTTTACGCCCTCTCCCATCCCATCGTCATCTTCCTCATCTTCAAATTCATCCGCATTTCCTATTGAAAAAACATCCGATTGTCCATCCAAAAAACTAACCGTATCACTAGTACTTCCACGTCCCCAAAGATGCTCACGAGGTAGTTCAAATTCAGATTCTTTCGCGATTTTATTTAACCTTTTCATAAATAATGTCCATGTAGATGATATTGCGACATCAAATACATACCCATGTAATGCAACAATAAACTGCTGAGCTTCAAATCGAAATTTTTGAACAAGTAGACTATGTTCAGCAGCCTCGTCATCATCATCATACAAATAACGTTCATAAGCAAGCCTATAAACATGTCGTATCACTGTTCCCATACGCAACACTCGCAAAAGAAACGTAAACAATCGATTATATTTTGTTAACGAGTTCGGCGATAGAATGACATTAATCGGATAAGGAGGTTTGTAATCAAGGTAAAGAAAATCCAGTGCTTCCAAAGCTTGAAATTTAAAATAAATTAGTTTAATTATATTATTCAATAATATGTTCGGAACATTCGAGACCAACTTCTTTTCGTTTTTTTCGAATTTAAATTTTTCTCTATAAGTAAACAATAATTACCGTTTGGATCACTACAAACTTCGGATTCTTCATAATTATGGATACCAAACATAAGCATATTATCCAAGTCATTAACTTTACCCCATGCATCTATAGTCTCATTAGAGTCTCCATTTTCCAAATTCTTTTTTTCCAAAAGAATAGTTTCTACAATAACAGCCTTTAAAGCCATTCTCCATTCGATTCCAACAGGGGGCCAAGTCTGGCGGCTATTCAATCGAATACCAAGTCCTATACCCATCCCAAGGTTATTATTGGCTGAAAATATACCTACTCCATGATCAACGTTGTCATTGAATAGTGCATCCACCAATCCAGAAACAAAAGTTCCATTTCCCATAAGCATAAAGTCTCGCAAGACACTTAAATGAGCACGAAGGTCAAGATCATGAAAAAAAATCGATAGAATTGAAGCATTAATCAAACGACAATGACAAAGTAAAGTTTGTCGAACAACTAACTCTGTAACAGCTTTCAGAGGAAGAATATATTCGTTGTGTGCATAAGAATTTGATGATTGTACTTGCAAAAGGCGTTCAATTAATGCCGTTGTTGGATTATCGTTTATTGAATAAGATAGTGCAAAGTCAACATCATCTGTTCGATGTATACTGAATATATTTTCAATATTTAAAGTGTTACAAGCCTGATCAATTTCTTCAGAAGTTTCTTTCTGAGTCATTGGATAAATATTATCTAATTCAAGGTTCTTATTAGATGTTTGAATTTCAACCGGAGATTCTACAAAAACCGTATTTCTAAGCCTTTCAGTTGGTGGTATTATGATTGAGGGATTTTGTAAGGTTGATGTAGCTCCAGAAACACTCAATTTTTTCTCTGCTAAATATTTCTATTATAATAAAGTTTACAAATTAATCTTATTTTTTTTTAAAAAAAAAAAATAATATAAATGTTACCTCAACACTTTTCTTCCATTCCATTTTCTTATTTAATCGTTCATCAAGTTCCATTCTTTCAGATTCTTTCCTGAGACTAAATAGTAATTCAGCCTAAAATATCACAACGAAAAATTAGACTAAATATAAATATATGAATAAAGTAAATAAAACTAACTAACATCATGTTTCCTCTTTGTCATTTTTCTCTGATAACGTTCACGAATTCGAGTAATTTCCGCTTTGCGGCGTTCATCTTGTATTACAATTGCTATTGACATATCTTTTGAGTAATTTTGTAGCTGTTCTTTCATTCTATATAATAACCATGTATATATATATATATAAAATATAAATATGAAATGATATTGTAGAATATTTTATAATTGTAAGTTATTACAAATATTACATTGTATTGATTCTTCACCTACTCATCTATGTCTCCTTGAATGAATAACCACTTCATTGTTATATCCCAAGCTTGCTTGCCGGTTGTTTGATCTAATATAACACCCGGATGACACAATGGATGATTTGGGCGACAATCTCGTAACAATCTTAGAGATTTTCCTGCTTCGAGAACATCTCGAGCTAACTCAGAATCAATAAAAGCAGGAAGTGGATGGTCTTCACTTATCTGTGATAGATATAATAAATTATTCACGAATTTACAAGAACTATGCGAGAGCGTTATGTGAGGGAAAAACTTACATGAATTCCACCTTGCCAAAATCCATCCCCATCATTCTTAACATGATTAGAATCAACTTCAAAATTAACAATAAAGAATTCTTCATATGGATCAAGAAAATCACCCTTTTGTAATTCCAAGGGTAATGAAACATAAGGAGATGAAGAACAAACACCTAACCAGGAACTTAGCATATGGAAAAAAGGATAACTCGATTGCTCCAAAAATGCTAACAATATAGATTTCAGAAGTGGAGTTCTTGCCGCATCTATTGACTCTGCAGTTGTGTATAGCTCTGATAAGATATTGGAACCAAATGGCACATAAAACCCTTCATTTTCAATTTGTTCTTTTTGACTTTCTGTCAATTCTAATATCCTCGAATTATCTACATCCTAAAAGTATGCATTATATCATTATATATCATTCATTCATCATATTAATTCGAATAATAGAATTTGTTTAATAATGTAAAATTCGTTAAATTCTTACGCATCGACAAAACGCTGCAATTCTTTCAATTACTAATGAGGCATCGTCTATTATGTGATAAAGTCGAACAATTTTCATTTGATCTTGGGCAGTTATTGTTTCAGCCATTTCAACAATTGAAGTTCGTACAAATGCAATAAAAGAAAAAAGAGATCGTCCAAAGGCAACGCCAGTCAATCCATTTAATCTAAACAAAAAAAAAAAAATTATGAAATATAATTATGTAATGAATTATATATAATATCCAAGAATAATAATAAATATACCGTGCATTCATCATGCACCCTTCGGAAACAGTTTCAAGCCTTTTAATATGTGAACCAAGATTTAAAAATCGTCTCAACATCCTATAAATAAAATATAAATTTTAAGTAAAAATTTTCATATTTAATTAATAGGTATCTAATTCTCAAAAATCATATTTCTTTGAACATACTTATTCATACTTTTAGAACTACATCCACTCATACGAAGGGTTGAAAATTTTGAAATGAACCTTCTACTAGATTTATCATAGGTAAATGTTTGGGATGGCGTTCCAATTATTAAATTTAGAACATCTTGGATTAAAACTTCATGAGGAATGGAGAAGTTGGTATAGCCATAAGAATGGTAAAAATGGCTATGATAAACGGATTCAAATACTGAAATATCTGATTCTGTTAAGTACGGTGAAGTCGGATTTTGTTTTAACTTTGATGTTTCAGTTGACTCCCAAGAAAACATTTGTCCCTATGAACAAGGAACAACAAAAAATAAAAACAAAGAAATAAATGTTATACGTAAATATCGAAGTCTTTCATCAAGTTTACTTACTTACCGATTTCTTATCAAAATCCATTGCTTTCTCCCAGACTGTCTTATTTTCGGATACCGAATTATATGTACTCTCAGACATTTGTGTTGATATAGAACATTGCGTTTCATCATCATCTATACCCAAGTTCTCGGAACTTTTAGTTTGTTTATGTATAAATTGTGAATTTGTACTCGGTAAAGAATTTAATAAGACATCAATTGGTTTAGAAGGCAGCTCGGGTAAATGAAATAAAGGATCAAAGCCTTTATTCAAGTTTAAACTTAAATCCTGATCTATATTTAAAACGAGAAATTAAAGATTGAATAACCAAAGTATTTAATTGTTTGGTTGAACAATAAATACCAAAAGTTGATAATGTTCCACATAGAATTGCACGTATATCAGATACACTATTTTCAAGTTTTTCACTAGAAAATAATTTTTGCAAACTATTATCATTTATTAGTAAGTCTTCTTCGTTTATCATTATTTCGACTTATTTGAAAAATAAAGGTTCAATTTTGAATTACATATTTTTTTTTTTTTCGGATTAATAACATTCTTAAAGTTTGTGATACAAAACCTGCATATATGCGCGTACGAGAGCGTGCTTCTCATTTTTAGACTATAATTTTGCATCACATGCAATCGCAATTTTATTATTTTTTACTATATAACAATGCATATTTTTTATTTTTACATCGCAACGTACACCTATTTTTAAAAATACAAATACAAATACAAAAAAAGTATCGCGCGCATTTTCACAAAAAATCTTGGACACGTGATTTTGATACAAAAAATTACAGAATTTGATAAATAATTAATTAATGAATAGAGCCTTTTCCTCAATAGGATAACCCAATTTTTCCAAAGATTTCCTAATGTTTTCGTTAAATTGATAACTACCACAAGCAACTAATTTAACCTGTTTAGAATTATCTATAGCAAATTGTCTCATATAATTATGTTTTTCATTCATTAATATCATTTCATTCATATGAGATGGTGAAGATGCCGAACTCTTTCTGGATAATGAAGATTTACTAGGATCCATTTGATTTGAATCATTTTGCTGTTGGTAATATTCATTATGCAATTGATCATCGTCATATATATTATTAATCAAATTATAATGATTATGATTTGGATTAGAATAATAAGTATGAGCATTCAAATTACTATTAGTTAAATAACTTGTACCAATGCCACTGTTGAAATCATTTAACCTTGGTGGAATTACGGGAGGTGGCACAGCATAATTTTGACTAATCCAATCATATAATTTTGTATCATCAATTAATCCACCTAAATCATTCCAAATTGGTGGTGGTCTTAATAAAATGTAAGTGATTTTCAGTTTTCCCTTGAGTACCTGACATAAATAGTCCAAATATTTTGGACATATTAGGTCAGCTATTGTATCATTTGCTACTAATAAAAATAATTTGAAATTGGAATCTAAAGTGGCCGCTTTCTCCATATGATATTGTATCTTATAAAGTAAAAATATTAAATTAAACAAACTAATAATTGAAATAATATTTAATGCTTTAAAAATTTAAAAAGGTTGAACTACTTACCAGTTGTAACATTGGTATGATTCCAGTACCACCACAGACCATAAATAAATAATCCCAACATAAATCTGCCCTTTCTTTATTTAATAATATTCCACTTCTACCATCAAGTAAACTGTATTTATTCGAAGGATTAAGTTGAGTATTAATACTATTGGAGCTTTTTATGCCGAAATTGTTATTATACTTTCTAGCGTCGTTAACTGATAAATAAGTTGGTGATGATGGTCTACTATTTACCGAAGCCGGCTTTAAGGATGGCGATGAAGATATTTGTGACATTCGATCCGCTATATCAAATGGTCCTCTCACTTTGATTTCAAAATTCTTCAATTGCTTATTCTACAAATACAAAGAAAAGGAGACAAAACATTTTAAAATATAATTACATACACGATAACGATTCAATTTACTTACCAAATGTTGAGACATAATACCATCTTTATATATTTTAACAAATATACAAAAACTATTTTCAGTTGATCCCTGAATTGGAGTATATAGTCTAGTAGTCACTTGATTATTAGTAAAACACATTATTTCAATAAAATCACCAGGAAAGAATTTCGGTAATTTATCGTTTTGATGTATAACTTGAAATGTGAATTTTTTAACAGGGTTTGTAGCATTCTGTCTAGTTACAAATTCAATATTGGTTAAAATATATCTTCGGAAAATATTACAACGTAGTGGCTCATTTAGTGGTTGCATCGTCATAATAGGTGCTTTTTCATCACTTATTTCTATCTGTTTAGATTTTATCCTGGCAATTACCATACTAGCTAATTTAGACGTAGCAAATTTTGAATGACGATGCATCGCAACTCTACGATTCTTAAATGATTTGGAATTTATTATATCAACAGCATTTGCTATGCTATGAGGCTTTATCTTCATGATGTCATTCATTTTGTCTTTATGTGTATTATCCGTTAATACCGAGATACTAGGTCGTGGTACATCATAATCATCAGAATTATTATTAATAACTATTTGATCCGCTGGATCAAAGAAAAAATCTTGTGTAATATCAGTGCCAACTACTCTTTTTAATATTCTTTGTCCCCCTGGATGTACAGGGATCCATCGATGTATATCAAATACTAATCCCTCTGCTATAACTAAATTGGCTCCCGTCATAACTCTTTTATTAAATTCCTGTAAAAATAAACAGAAAAAAATTCAATTAATATATATATATTTTTTATAAAGAAAAAAAAAAATTGGAAAAGAAACCTCTATTTTATTACATACATCCCAAGTAATGACGGGTAAATTTTCAAAAACCTCTTCAGGGATACAATTATGAATCCGTTTTGTCAAATCTTCTGTAAATCTTACCGGCCACAAGAATTGCATATTCTTGATTTTATAATAAAATTCGCTTGTGGTTATCACAAATCCAAAAAAAACTGTTTATGCGTAAAATTTTTTTTTATATAAATTATTATTAATAACGTAAATGTAAAACTTATTCATATATAAATAATTACTTACTCAACCAAACTACATAAGCCCAAATGAATGCCTTATTCGCTCCATATACATGCATGCCAAAGAATACATTAACCCTATAATAAAATATATTAAAATGATAAATTTTTTTTTTTTTTTTTTTTTAGTAAATATGAAATACCTACCATGCAGTTAAAAGCAAAATGACACCCAAGTAAAAATGTAAATGCTTTAAATTACGGACAAATCCTGTTGCTGCTGATTCTACATTAGCCAATCCCCAAATCGCCATTATGC